GGGGGGGCGCCATGAGGCTGGGGAGGCCCCTGCGGGCGGCGCTGGCCGTGCCTGCTCCCGGCCCGGGGAGGCGGTGTCTCCGCGTCCCGGCACAGCCGCTGCGGGGCCCGGGTGCGTGTTTCCCGGGAGCATCAAAGCTCCTTGAGCGTGGAGGGACAGAATTTCTGCTGAGGTTTCCGAAGCGAGGCCTTCCGAACTCAAGGTGACGCTCTCTCTCCTCACGCAGCGGGTGCCGCGCACGGGATGGGTGTACAGGAACGTGGCGAATCCAGAGAGCGTGTCCGACCACATGTACAGGATGGCGATGATGGCCTTGGTGACCGAAGACAAAAGCCTGAACAAGGACAGGTGAGGCTGCCTCTTGTTATCGTGACCCTATCTTAGTGTTGCGGGAGAGCGGCAACCAAAGTGGTAAAAAATGTCACCCTGAGGAAGAGCAGTTAGCATAGACTGAAGGAGTTTGAATTCCCTTCCCCTCTTCCTTCCATCCTTTGGACAGGGTGCTGAAAGGGGCTAAAAACTTCTATTGCTAAACTTCGAGTCTTCATTGCAGGGGCTCTGAGCTGGTCTTCTCTCAAGCCATAAGTAAGTAAGCTGAAGCCACTCAGTTAAAACGCAGTTTGAAGCAGCAGACAGCAAAAGCATAGACTGTGAGGGTTTTGGCAGATTAGCACTCAGCAGCAGTAAGGAGCCTCAGAAATTATCTAGCGTAGCAGAGAAAAGATCACATTGAATGACTGTCAAGTGTAGTATGGGATCATGCTTTCTTTGTCCCTTCCGGAGCTGATGTGAAGGCTTTTTTGAGTATTCTGCTGCAGAATGGCATAGCTGCAGAGCTACCAGTGTCATGATATACTGAATCTGGCATGGCTCCAATCAGATTACTTTCAACCTGTTGCAGGAATAATGGGACGTGTGTAATGCTGTTAGCTACCACATCTAAAAAAGCCAGTACATTACTTTTGAATGCTGTGCTGTAGTACAAAGTGTATTTAAACTTAAGTCTACATTTATAAGCAGCAGTGGCTAGAAATAGGGAATTAAAATCGTGTCTAGGTGGAAACTACTTCCCTTAGCAAAGGAGTGAAAAATGTTATGTAAAGTTTTTTAAAAGAAACAACAACTTGTAAAATATATGAAGGGGATAAATCATGCAGTCTCATAGCTTTATGAATAGCAAGATATAACTTAAAATGTTGAAAAACTAATGATTATTTCTTCTTGTCAGGTGCATACGATTAGCTTTGGTACATGATATGGCTGAATGCATTGTTGGAGATATTGCTCCTGCAGATAATATCTCAAAAGAGGAGAAACACAGGAGGGAAGAGGTATGGACTTAAGGTGTGAAACCACATTTCTAAAGAGTTCTGCATGTTTTTAATCATAGGGTCATAGAATGGTTAGTGTTTAAAGGGATCTTAGAGATCACGTCGATCCAACCCCACTGCATGGGCCGGGACACTTCCTACTAGATCAAGTTGCTCAGGGCCCCATCCAAGCTGCCCTTGAACACTTCCAGGGTTGGGGCATCCAGAACTTCCCTGGCTATCCTGTTCCTGTGTCTCACCACCCTCACTAAATAATTTCTTCCTAATGTCTAACCTAAATGTCCCTTCTTCTGGTTTTAATACATTACCCTCATACTCTTGCTACAGTGTTCTGGTGGGAGTGAAGGGACCCTCTAAACAACATAATACCATAATTTGCATTAAAAAAGTATGCTACAACCAACCAAAGTTTTCAGCTCACTTTGATTTTTGTACAGATACAATGTTACAGAAGTAGAAGCTTTGAAAGAATCTTCACGTTGGGCATTTATTCCTCAACGGGCTGGATTTTTGGTAGCCTGAATTAGTCATGTGGATGAACCTTACCCAGAAGTGGGGAGCAGGGAGTAAGTGCACTGGGAAGGGTGGATAGCCATGTGTGGTGCCAGATTATGTGGTTATCATAGACACTTAATGTAATCCATTTGCACAGGACTCCAGACTCAGGTGTCTTTTTTTGTCTTGAGTCTTCAGGTGCAGAATGCCTAGAGTTATTTTATTTTTGGCCCTATACCTACACAAACCGTTGGTTTGTCATTTTTGGATTGTTACATTATTTGAAGAAAATGTAAACCACTCCTTCAGCCACAACCAGAGGGCAACATGATGCCTCAGAAACTCTTTAGAGACTACAGTTAGCTCTTCAGAGATTATTTACCCCCCACCACTTCTATGCTTACCTGCTTAAAACTTGACAGGAGGGACAAGGGAAACACGACACTATGACTAACTCTAGTAGTAAGCTCTTTGCTAAGAAAGTGGAACAACATCCTTAAAGTAGTATCTTTACTGACTAGAATTCTGCTATTTATTTTTTTTTTCCAATCTATTTGCTGGTGTGTTCTTACACTAAACAAATAATTACAACTCTTTGCTGAAGTCTCCAAAGGTTGTTTCGTCAGGGAGGATCAGGTTTCAGCTTTGTCCAGAGAGAATTCTCATTTGTATCTAGGCAATGAAAAAGGCTATTGAGGCTATGTATGTTTCAGAAGTTTTTTTAAGTATTTGTAGATCCTTCTGCTCCTGTTGCACTCAGTGAGGACTTTTCTTTTGACTTTGTGGGAAGGAGGGGTCAAGCATTAAATATTTAGACTGATGCTGAAATACTTTGTTGTAAAAATACACCAAGAGTAACTGTTTCCTGAGGTGGTGTGAGCTGAACTATCAATATGTTGTTTCCGTTGCAGAGTTCTCCTTTTCTCTCCCTTTGCTTTGCAGCTGATGTTGAGCTGGTTCTGAAGTTTTCTGCTTGTGCAGTCAATTTAATCAGCTAGTCTCACCAAGGCCAAGGCAACAGGAAATTTACCTGCTTTTAAAAAAACAAAAAAACCCCCAACAAACAAACGGGGTTTTTTGGGGGGGGTTGTTTAGGTTTGATTTGGGTTTTTTTAACCAGTTAAGATTTTGGCCTGCTAACCATGAAATCTGCTGAGCTGGAGCTGGAAGGAGGTGGGAAGAAATGAAACCTTGCTGCTTCAGTGTTGGGGAGCAGCTGATTCAGTTCAGTCATATTGTGGAACTATGCCCTGTGTTTGAAGTGGAGGAACAATCATGGCCCAAAACCTTTGTCTTGCCTATGATGTTGATTGTTTCATAAGCAGCCCTCGGTGTTATGAGGAAAATGGTAGAAATAGCACAGAAATTAGTCTGATCAGCTGGGAGAGCACAGAGTTACATCGTTACTGGTTACATCGTTAGTTTGATACAGCATTAAACCTTGTACCAGGATTTTTGTGGTTGAGCAAATGGTATCTCAGTCTGGGAGCACTGTGTTCTGTTGCTGCAGGGAATTAAGTGGGGTTTTTTTCTCTGTTTGTCAAAATTTGACATTTTTAAGGCTTATGTTTTGTTCCTGCCTGATAGTCAGTAGCTGTTCTCAGCCTTGCTAGTGGAAATGTGCTAGTTGAGTACTCGTTTGGGAGGGGGCAGTGTTTTTGTCAAAACTGGGAGTTAAGTCTTTTGAAGCTGCTTTTATGAGCTGCACCTATAAGGTGTTAAGTTCAAATGTTGCATCCACTAGTTAAATCTGGAAGGCAGAGCTGGTAACTGATGGCAGTTTCCTGGCATTTGACTCAGCTGTTTTGCTCTGGGCTTCTTTTTGGAGTCTTGAACATACCAGATAAACTTTCAGGTTGTTTTTCTTGTGTTTTAGACTAGTTCTCTAACAATTCACTTAGCAACTCCCATAAAAGAGTCCTTGAGTAGTCCTTTTGTTTCTCTGGCAGGTTTATGTAGAGGTGCATATACTGTGTAGTGTACGTTCCTACAAACTTGGTAACAAGTAATTAATTCTTTAAAAAAAGTGATGATAAAAATGTACTTGCTCAAAAAATGGATACATGGAAATGGCTTCTTTTTTTTCAGGCAGCTATGCAACAACTGACACAGCTTCTACCTGAGGACCTTAGAAAAGAAATCTATGAACTCTGGGAAGTAAGCTTGCATTCTTTTAATACTTTTCTAAAATTTAGGGTGACGCATTGTCCTTTTCTTGTTTACCAATGAAACTGCCATCTCTTAGTTTGATTTCAAGCTGGGTAGATTCATTTGCTTGGGAGATAAAGCTAATGGTGTGAGTCAAGGTCACTTCAGAGTGAGTTTCAAACAGAAACCCCAAACTTTAGCAAAATAACCAGCTTCTGTCCAGGGCCTCACCTGTCCCAGGGGTTTTTTTTGTACAACTGAAGGAAGAGTTTGTCCTCTATATACAGCCCTCTTGTTTTTTTACTGTGTCATCTCTTGTTCACATGTGGCTGTTTGCAGCTCATGACCTTTTAATACAGGAAAAAATAATGGGAGCTGAAGACAATATGGAGTGTTTTCTGCTTTTTATGCAAGTGAAAATTTATGTGGCTTCCATTTCTTTATTATACAGCCCATTAGGCTAAAATATTTAGTAGTAACTTCTGGTTTAAACTTAAATGTAGTATACTGACACAGAACAGTGCCTTTCCACAAACAACACATTTCTTACTGGTCTTGGGTATCTTGAATGTTTGTACTGGAAAGCATCTTCTGTATTTTAAAATGATTTAACTTTCTGATGTGAACTCATGCTGTTAAATCGATGTAATCTTTTATACTTTCAAACTAGGGATGATTAGATTATTTCCAAACAGTTAAATTTTATAATTACTTTATCTTCTGGCTACAGTGTGCATGAGGACAAGTGCAGCTACAGTCTCTTCTTTATGTGTAGTTGAAAACAAAGCATTATGTTTCTTTGACTCTGTGACCTGAGTGACCTGTATTTTATGCTGATACTTTCCCTTTTCCACATGAATGGTAAGGGGGTAAACCAGCATAACCAGATCTGTGGAATAATGTGTGTGCATTTGTTTAGTGAGCAGTGGTTCATTCTTCCTTGGGAAGCAGGTATAATTGAGGAAGAAGTTTTTGATAGATTATTCCTTTAAGACTCTTTTTTCACATATAGTGTTTCTTCTTTGCCTCAGTCTGTTATGTTTGTATAAGTGCTAGTTCAGTATGCAGTCATTCTTCAGCGTGTTAGCTTTTTATCATTCTCAGTAACCATAATTTAACATTCACACACTTGATCATTTGCTCCTTTTTTCTACCTTCAGGATATTTTGTTGGCATTCAGTCTCCAATGCAGCAGTATGAGTGTAACCCACATAGCAGCGAGTGTAACCTAAAAATCTAATATTCACATGTAGTCCCTCTAGTCTTATTTTAAGTGGAACAACTACGTGCTTCTTCAAAAGAAGGAAGTAAAAAAGGCAGAAAGTAAGAAGCATTTGGTCGCTTGGTATGATGCTGTGCTCTCAGCATGCTAGAGGCATTTCCCTCAGATTTCTTTTTGTGAGTGAAGAAAGGCCCAGGCTAACAGGACAAAATCTTTTGCCACTCTTGTCCTGCACTGCTCTGCCTTCATCCCTGCCCCTCTGTCCCTTTCAGCCTTACAAGGACTATTGCTTTGGATGGTATTGATGCCTCCAATATATTTTTACTTTGTAACTTAATCCAGGTTTGAAAAAACATGAAAGTAAATGGGCTAGCACACTTCAGCTCTGTCCTGCTTATTTTGTTTTCAAGAGCAAAAGCACAGGAGTAATTTTTAAAAGCCTGGCTGTGATGTTTGAGAGACGAGTTACTGTTTTTCTGAAGTGTACTGTTTAACTTTGCACTCTTAAAGACCTTCAGGGAGGTAACAGTGAGTTTATTTCAGCACTGTGCACAGCTGTACATAGAATAGCTCATGTTTCTTGAGGTTAATGTGAGCTGAGGTATGAATAAGATCTGGTGGGTTGTATGGCACAAAGAGGCTGGTAACAGATGGATTGCTGGAGGTGGGACAGACCTTTACAAGCAAAGGGCCATAGTTCTCCTTCTGAAGTTCTTTGTAATACTGCTAAGAGTTTGTTCTTTTTGGTAACCAAAAAGAACTAAATTGAGTAACTAGAAATAAATTGATTTAAGAAAATAAGAAGCACTATTTAAACAATTAAAAGATGAGGCAAAGCTTAGATTGAAAGGAAGGTAAAAATGTTGAAATTAAATTGATTGCTGAAATAATCATCAAAATGTAATTGGAAATTCAAAGCATCGTTTAAATCCAAATAGAATAGTATATGAATCGATCTTGCCTATCAAAATCTGGATTTCTAACTTCCAAAGGTAAAGCAACAAGCATAAGAACAAACAAGCTCCTAATAGTATGTCAGACAAGGAAGTGACCCTAACACTTCTCCAAGCATCGCTCTGCTGGAATTACAACCCAGGATCTTGCCACTATGGTCACACACACAGTTGCCTTCTTAAGATGCAGAAGGAGATGCCATGTTCTTTGGTCAGTAAGAAAAACCTCTTCCTGTACTTGTGCTGCTTTTATCTGCAGAACTGCTGTGTGTCACAGATTGTGCGGATCTGGGAACACGGATGGGCCCAGTGTGTCCTTAAGCCTCTGCTCAGATAATTGGCAGTGGTGATGATGAATGGGGTCAGACCTACCCAGTATCAATGTATTGGTAACCTGCACAAAAAGAAGCCTTTTTCTGGGGTTACTTTTGGAACTATGGAAAAGATGAGCTGATGAGACATGAAATGCAGTGAAGTAGACTTGGAAAAGAGAAAATTAAATGGCAAATCTGTTTGCAACCATCACTGGAAGTGAACAACAGCAAAATTGTTCATTTGACTAGAAATGTGAATGGCTTGTGATATATACTGATGATGACTGGAGAGAGGGAAAAGATAGCAGAGGGATTAAAGGACTTAAAGTCTGAAGGGGAGGAAACCCCTTAACTACTCCTCTGCCTATCTCCTGGGTAAGACATGAAGACATAAGTAGCTCAGACAGATTAGACCAAAGAGATGGAGGAGAACTGACAAGAGAAATGTAAAGAACAATTCCTTCTAAAAACAGCAGGTGGTGAAGAAGAGTGCAAAATAGGTCTTAAAAATAGGTGATGGTAATGCATAGGCACACTGTGGTAATTAATTGCCTTAACCAGGCCTGAAATGATATTTAGATATAAAATACTGTTAAATGTAACTTATTATTTAACTTGTATATCTTAGAGGGTTGTCTCCATATCGTTCCTGATTCAACCAAAACACTTGCTGTGTTTTTAGGAGTATACAAAAGAATTGTGTTCTTAAGTTCCATTGCATTTAATAGAAAGTTAGCACATAGTTCCTTCAAGGGTTTTGCTGAATAGCAGTCTTTAAAAAGAGAGTGAAAAATAAAACTGTCATGAATATTTATGTACTAGCTTTTACTGATGAAGAAAATTCAAGATATATAAAAAGCTTCTAATACTCTGTTTAAGAACAACATTTTTTTCTTATAACTGCAAATCTGTTCAGGAATATGAAAACCAGTGTACTTCAGAAGCCAAGTTTGTAAAACAGTTGGATCAGTGTGAGATGATCCTGCAAGCATTTGAATATGAAGAGTTGGAAAACACACCTGGCAGACTGCAAGATTTTTACAATTCAACTGCTGGTATGACATTTGAGCTTACTTTGTCTTTCATAAATGAAATGAAATATATAATGCTCGTGTTGGCCTTAAATACAGAAATACAGCTAAAACACATCCTTGTTGACAATGTTCACACTGTCTGAATCACACAAAAAGAGCAGAAAAGTAGTAGTGAATTTTTCACCCTTTCATAGTTATGTCTTCTAATTGGTCTCCAAATTTTCTGCCTTTCATCTCTGGGTTTGTATGCATCTGTGTTGCCCAAACCTTGCTTTGAGCTCACAGGCTTTCTCTCCCTCTACAGACTGTGCTGTTCCTATGTGCTCATAACACAGACTCAGCTATCCAAGCTGCTACTGAAGGCCAGGGCAAGAGACTTCGAAGGTAAGCAACCACTTGGCACACTAATGGGTATTTGAGGTATAGACACTCTGATAGTAGCCTCCCTGGTCTAAAAATACCTTGTGAGATTGCAGTAACCCCGAGGACCGTGTGTGAGAGCTATTTTCACGTGAAAACAAAGTCTGTGATTTCAAGGCAAGTCTATTTGTTGTTTTCCAAAACCCTTCATCAGAAGAACTTTTCTATCTTCTCCTGTTGCCTCTTGCTCTCAATCCCCATCATGTTTTTGTTCTTTCCACTGTTTCATGTTTATCTTCCTTTGCAAAAATAAAAGTCAGATGGGAAACTGTCTTTTCTGGGCATTCCCACAATGCATATTTGCATTTTTGAGCAGTATCTCAATAGCATGGTGTTCTTCAGATAATCTGAAATCACAGAGGCTATGCAGGCAGCAATCACTCTATTATGCACAACTATAACTGGCTACACCAAGAAAGAATCAAAAGCCCAATAACAAAACAGACTAGCTGAAGGTGCAAAGATTAGCAGGCAACTTTAGCCCAACAAATATATGCAGTCCTGGCTGCTATAAACTACAGGTTAAAGGACAATGATATTCTGGATTGATGATTTATTTCTCTGTTGTCCAGCCACAATGAATTTCAGGCTACATTTTACAGCCCTGTGTGGACCAGCAGCAGAGAGTGATATCTTTTTCCAAGAAAGCCTTTAATCTGAAGATAATTCAAAAGTTTCAGAAAGACTTGATCTAATCTGACAATTGCAGCACCTCTAGAGGATTCGTTCAACTTGGAGCATTTGTCTTTTTTTTTTTTTTTTTTTTTTCCTAACAGACATTGAGAGCAAGTGAGAACTAGTTATTTTACTAATTGATGAAGTATCCTAAATATTTTGGGAGAAACTTCCTGCAGTGTGAAAATACCTTACATTTCTCTATATGTATTGAACCTGAATCTTACTCATGCCAAGTTCCTTTTACTGGACTTTTCACCTAGAGACAGGCCCCACATTAATTACACTTGCACGTATTTATGGATCTCCATATATCATCAGAGGGCTGTAAAGGAGATGTCAGTCTTCACTGGTGCTCAGTCAGCAGCTTCTCTCTGCTTTGTTAGTGTTTCATGAGCCAGTGAATTAAAATTTGTTATCCCTATGTGGGCTCTGCTCTTGTGTGACCTGCCCAAGGTACATGGGAGAACCAGCTCAGTGAAATGTTTTAGGTATTGTGTTACTTTGTATTGTATTGTATTACTTTTTTATTCTATCCAGTTTCTTTCATCCTTTCCAAAATAAACTGATGGTGGAAAGGAAAAATAGGCAGAATAAGAGTCTTTATTATTTTAGCAAAGGGAGTTGAACACCAAAAGATAACTGTGATCCCAAGTCATCCTATCCTGGGAAAAATACAGAACAAAACTATGGACAGACAAACTCAGGGAGAAGATGAACAATCACCAGACATAGTTCCTGACAGGTCCCATTTATACTTCAGTGACTCCTCAGGGAAATAATAATAATCTTTCTGAAAAGCACAGTAATTTGTTTAGGGAAGAAGGGAAAGAAGAAAAGCATGAGCATAGCTGGAATACTTGATATTGTAATTGACATCTTTGCCCTCCTACTAGAATTCAGTAACTTAAACTAAGCTGGTGTCTTGAGTAGAGCCTACACATATACCCATTGTGCACCTGTAACGGGTGGTTTCCTGTAGCAGAGGACGTAGCATGGGAGTGTCCAGGTTAGGGTGCATCCTTGTTTTTTCAGTTCTTCAGTGTTTGAATAGAGCATGAAAGATTTTCTGTAAGTTTAGGGGGAAAAATAGCTGGAACTACTCTTACAGTTATTCCATAGCTGGAGTAAAATGGGAGTACTTTTGCTTACTAATCTGGCATTTATTTTGAGCCTAAAGCCACATGCCTGCTAACCTTTCACTGCCAGCCTTTCACACATTGCAGAGGGAGAGCCTTCTTAATTAACTTTCCCTTTCTTTTCCTTTGCAGGAAAGTTTGTTCACCCAGAAATACTCCAGCTTGTATCATTGATTAACACAGAAAGGAATAAAAAAATAGCTGCTACATCTCATCCACACTCCTAAGGTGTTTGTAAACGCTGTAGCTGTAATAAATCCTTTGTTTTACATTCTGTGCGTTATTTTTCCTTCTGTAATGCTGTTGTTTTTTCCAGCAGTTTTTTTTTTCTGCACATTCACTTTTGAGAATCCCTGGACGACTTAGAAAGGAGTGACCTAGATAGACTAGAGGTTATGTCAAGGGCCAAATATTTAGAATGGGGGGTGAGGAGTTTCGGGTTTTTTTAATCAGCCTCTGATTGATGCATTCTCAGTTAGAAATAAATTCTCCACTAAGGAAATTCAGGTAAGTTTCAACATTAGCTGATTGCAACCTAATCTTATGTAATGCACTGACTGGGACATCTTTTTCTGTGACTTTTAAGTATGTATGGATTTAAGTACCTTCTGTATCAAATGGGTTAATATCTTCTCACTACGCTACCAAGAAGCAAGACCAACAAGTACATTTCTCTAGAAGCTCTTGACAGAGCCAGACTTAGAGATGAGATTTCTGTGGAGTGCATAAGCCTTAAGAACTGATGGTGGATAGAACTGGTAAGTAATCTCTCTTAATTCCATTTTCTCAATATGTTCATTGTTTCATATGATTTTTCCACTGTTCCTGTGTTGTACCAGAGAATGGTGCTGATGTTTCCATAAGTCCAGTATTCCTGACTCCCCCTCACCCTGGACTGGCAGTTTTACAGACAGGTAGTTGATAATTACAGACTAGCTGATGTTGGGGGGCACTTCTGGAGCTTGTGCAGTCTGATGCAAAAGTCCATGTGAACCTGGCCAACTTCTGTTCATGTTGTTACATGCTGGCACTGATTCTGCTTTAAATGTCAAGTTTTCAGTGGAAGCAATAATGCTAATGTAAAAGTACAATATGCTTGTCAAGTAAAGCTGTAATGGTGGTAAATGCCTTAATGAGGCCAGTGTCTGCATGATTAACTGTTGTGTCATGTGTGCAGCTGGAGATTAGGGCAATGTCACAATTACCAGATAATGAAGTTTGCACCTGAAGAAATTAGATGGTAGAGACCTGGAGCTGGCTTTTCTGTCTTCAACCTCATGTCAAATGAGGCAGCGTAAAACCAAATTTAGTTGTCATTGCCTTTAAGGGTGCTTTAGCTGAGCACACCCCTTGCAGCACCATGACTCCAGGAAATGTCTCCTTTACACACACCTCAGGGGCCTGACAGGAGCTGGTGCTTTGTCCTGCAGCTGGTGCCTTTGGCAGAGGCACAGAGCTGTGTGCAGAGCTGCTGGCAACTCCTGCCTCAGCCACCAGCATAGTGCACAAAATATGCAGAGTGCGTTGGTCCCACTGGGATGTGGGATGGCTCCTCTGTTCACACAAGGCAGCAGTTGTGCCTGATGGAGACCCTGGAAGAACATGCTGCACTTCGCCGAGCAGCAGCAAGCTAATCAGTGGTTATTGGCAGCCAATTGTCATACTGCAGGGGTGAGGGAGTGGGGCCTGCTGAGCTTTCTTTAGCATTTGATCCCACTGAGATGCACAGAGATCATAGTCTCCATCAGTTTGCATTGAATGCCAAGGCTGAAAGATCTACAGATGCATTGGAGGACAGAACTGAGAATGTTCCTGACAAACAAGAAGAGTGGCCTTAACAGGCTGTTTGATAGAAACACAGCAGGAACAGTCAGTTCCTCCAACACAGCAGGAGGCTTTGCTGGCTGGTTCTACAGCCTTCTGCAGGGGACCCAGGGGATGCAGCGCTGAACCCCAGTGAGCAGTGCAATGGTGTCAGGAAGGTAAATATCCTGGGAAGCACAGACATGGTTTGAGCGTGTGTTCTGTGGGTTTGATTTTGTTTAAAGACATCTTACAGGTACTTGTATGTAAAATTACATCCCCATCTTCTCATTGCTGGTGCTATTGTTTGTCAGTTTTGGGCACTGCCTTTTAATAGAAACAGGAGTTGGTTGGAAAGAGACTGGAAAAGTGTGTATGTTACCAGAAAGCATGCACCACATGTTGACAGGTTAGCAAACAGCCTGGGGGAGGCCTCAGGCTTCCAAAGTGAATGTTCACAGGTAGGAAAAGGGTGCTGTGCCCTGGGCATGTGGCTTGTGCAAGGAAATAATCTTTCTCCTGATCTCCCTATCAGCACTGAGTGTACACATAGTGGCAGCTGCTGTAACGACAACAACATGTCAGGATTTCTATGGAAGAGAGGTTTGGCCATCCTGCCTCCACTAACAATCATAGTCACACAAATGCTCTAAATTATGCTCTTAATGAATGCAGTTTAAAGTCTTTTACTGCTTTCCCAGAAGCACTTTTCTGTGTGTATATGTATATATGTACATTAACATCTAAATAAAATTAGGTCTAAATCAGTGGCTTGTAGGAGGTGACAATGCTTGGATCCAGTATTTTAACCTTGATTTGGCTGCTGTTCCTGCTCAAAAGATGGTCAATAGTTGTAGACCTAGATGATGTTTTTTTGCCATGCATTTCACTTCTGCTGAACTTGGTTTAATAATTTTTGTCCTTTGAACTTCAACAGTTTCAGAACTTGAACCACAGGTTTCCATGGGGAATTTCAGGTCCAGAAGGAAATTAAGAGATTTTTAAAACTGTAGGAATGGCAGATTTTGTTCTTGTGACTTACCTTGATGCCTGCAGAGACATAGCAGGGCTTAGAGATGCACAGTAATACTGGTAAATACACAGAATTAAAAAAAAAAAAAAGTCATAAAGTGTAAAAGAGTAAGAGAGAAATTTATTTTTAATAAGAATATTAATAACTTCATTTACACAAACTAAGTTGACTATTAATAGCTTCCTTATTTAAATAAATTCACATTTATGCACAAAACCATGTAAAATAAGCTAGCAAACTCTCACAAGAAAACTGTACTAAAAAACCCCTAATTGGAATTGCTTCCATGCTAAAAATGACACTCAAGAAGCATTAGATATACATGTCCAAAATTATGTCCTGTAGACCATTATGAAAGGACTTCCAGCATCTTAAAAACTGTAACAAAAGCCACACAGGAAAAAAAATATCACTTAAAGCCAATTTCCTCACAAGATTTTAAGCAGTCGGTAATGTCAAATGCACTAACACTGATTTGAAATGCTCAGATAATGCATCCATTCTGAAGGCAGCCAAACTCTTTTCCACCTTGTTTATACTTTATTGATAAGGTTGTGTTCATCTCAGTCTGGTGAACTGAGTAATGCAACATGCAGACTGACAGGTGCTCACTAGACAGCAAGATAGTGTCACAAGTGTGCTGCTCTGTTCTTGGGGGAAAAAAAGCTTTAAAAAGATGCAAGAAAACATGCTGAAGCAAAGCTGAGAGATGACTGGCTCTTGGTGATTAAGCAGATATAATGTGGTTGGTGGGATTATGGCCTGGAGCAATGCACAACACCATTTGACACCAAAAGGGAAGTACCTACTACTTATCCTATGTATTGTAAGAGATCAGGGTTTATGCAAGCAGCTCAAAAATGCAGACTGAAGGAACGGGCTGTCCAACCTACAGCACTTCTTTAGCCAGTTGTTGAGTTCGTATTTTTCCTCTTAAGGCTGTATCTTGACTGAGGCTCATAAATACACCTTCCCTTATTTTTGAGGGGAAGATAAAAGGCAAAATGACTAGAGGTTCCCTCCACTCCACTTCCCTTTGCAATTAACTTAAACTGTTAAGTCTTACCAAACCACAGAGAGCAAGCAATGGAACATATATTTAAACTGAAGCTTTTCCAGCTATGATGATCTTAACTCATCCACTGTGATCAGTTCAGTTTCAACATGAATAACTGGATGCCTCTTCCTGTCCTCCATTAACTCTGCTGACTAATGGGTGGAGGGCAATGCTAGACTGTACCAGTAAAGGAGAAAAAGCTTTTTGTGACAATAAGTGATTTAATTCCATTAGGAAGTAGATTATGTACAGATTACTCCTCAGCAAAGGGCACGTGGTATGGCTGGTAGACAGCTGGTATACAGGCTATTGCTGGCAGGAAAAACCTTTGCACAGCTCTGTGTCCATCTGTCTGATGTGGCACTGAGAGGGAAGTTGTAAACCAACAGATAGAAAAAAGTAAACTAAAAGAAAGAAGAAGCAGAGACAGGGAGATTATTGGAGGGAAGTTATGTGGAAATGAAAACTATTTGGGTCACTTAACATAAAATTTAGAGCATTATAGTCATAGATTTGTGTGGTTTCTATGGGGTACAAAGTACCTGATGATAAAATGGCGCATCCAAAACGAACATTTCTTCAGCACAAGGCAAGGGAGGTGATTTTCCAAAGCTGACAAAACCTTGTTGCACAAGTTGAGTGGTGAGGGGGTTCTAAAAATCACTGGCTGGGCAAGTCTCTGAAGAGAGGCATGTGCAGCTCAGGAGAGCCCATGGTCTAACACTGAAGCTCTTCTTCACTCTCGGGGAGCCGGGTGCCAGCAAGAGAGCTCTGTGCGCTGGCGTGGGCTGTAGAGCTGAGAACTTCTTCAAAACTGCCCCCTGGATGGCTTGTCCCACCAACCTTGGTCTGAAACAAGGCAAACAGAGAACAGCAGGTTCCTCTGCTCATGCTGTAGCGTGATCCATCTGCATTCCACCCCATGGCCATGAGAGAGCTCAGGCAAAGCATGTGCAGGGTCAGGTTTTTCTTTGAATAAAACCAGTCAAATATAACAACTCCTTTTCTCCCCCAGTTTCTAAAGTTCTAGGCTGCAATCGTAAAACCTAACAGTGGCATTTAGTCCCTAAGTAGGTCCCAAGCAGGATCCCAGATCCTACTAGTAAACTTACTGTGGTTCTTTCAAGCCTGAGAACAGGGCAAAACTTTTTACTCCATCCTACAACTGCAGCAGGACTTAAAGCCAAGCTGGCATTTTTCCAGCCTGTCAGCCACTGAATGCATAGGAAGATTATTTTAATTAAATGAACTTTGGGTCCTAAGTTTCCAAAGGGTTAATCCTATCTAATCCTTAGTTTCATCAGCTAGCATAGGAGCTTGTCTTTCTTGAAAGTTCAATAAAATAAGGCAGCAGTAGGCTTGATACTTGCTCTGACAGTCTG